CAAGTAAAATTATTTGGGATTATCTGTCTGTAAGGAAATGAAGAACAAAGTATGTGGGAGAGAGAGTGTGTGTGTTAGGTAGAGAAGAAAGGTAAGAAAAAAAAAAGAAAAAAAAAATGAAAGGTTTAAAAATTTATAAAAATACATTTGCCCTTAACGAGTGGCTAAAGGGTCTACCTGTTTTCAACCCGACCCATTTAGTCAAACCTGAATACTTATTTTTTCTTACAAATTCGTGTTGTGTTAGCAAATCGTGGACAATACTGCCAAAACCAAACAAGTTCTAGGATCTTTCCAAGAAAAATAAAACATGTCTTCAGATTAGATTGCATTTTGCATTGCATTTTTGTACAAAGTCACTAACCTTTGACACGATGGTGATGCCGCACTCGCGCTCGAGGCTGATAGAGTCCATGGGACGTTCATGGGGGATATCGGCGCCGCATTGAGGGAGGATGAGGTCCATGAGCGTGGTCTTGTCATGGTCAACTTCAACTATTACCGCCATATTATGCAGCCAGTTTGGGTTCAACGCGATGCTCAATGAAGTGCACAAGAGGTCACAATAGTTGCCAAGAAGGTACATGCAAGTGCAGAGGCTCATAGGGTCAGTAGGCATGATTTGGGGGCGATGGATGGAGATGAAGAAGAGAGAGAGTTGCTAACTTGGGTAAAAGTGTGAATGACCAGGAAATTAAGGATGGTCTCTTTGCTATTGGCCCTTACAAAGCTCAAGACTTATGCCCATTGTCCAAGATTCCTTTGTGGGACTTTCTTTTTCTTCTTCTTGACTTGACTCAACAACCCTCCCATTCAGGATAGAACTCTAAGGGTATCTCTGAAGCAAGTGAGGACCATAGAGAATGAAGCAACGACCATTTCTAAAAACTAAGAGAAATGGCTGAGTTCTGTACACTTGTTTGGGTTTTACGTTGTTGTTTCTAACCGATAGGGTTTAAGACGTTTCCCTCTGGTCGTGGCCTCCAAAATAGAGGAAGAAAAAAATGAAAAAGTTCGGTTTTTGGGACCAACTCGATTTATATCGGAGGCGGTTGCCGTACCCTAACTTTCCAAAGCATATGTTACCAAATCGAACCGACATATATTTATACATATTTCTACTCTTTATAATGTACACATGTCAAGCTATGATTGGTTATAGTAAACAAGTGGTGATATGTTATTCTTTAAAATAGCTAGTTCTACATTACACTAGAATTGGCTGTTATCACAGCCCACGGAAATATCGGAGTCGCCTTTTCTTTTCTTTTTTCCATTCGATCAACTCTCGCTTTCGAGCTCTCATTTCCTCTCTCTTACAAAATTTTGATTCCCTCTCATCTCTGTTCTCTCCTCCTCATCAATCATCTTCTCCATCTCTATTATTTGATTGAAGCACCTTTCTCTTCCACATAACCACCACCAATCCCTCCACTCTCCAGGAGATTGCCCTCACCTCTGTCTCCTCTCGTCACTCGGTGGGTAAATATCATTTGCGCCATTTTGTGTATGCCTGCAATTTTAGGTATTATGTTTAAATTAGTTTTGGATATTGATAAAGGGTGCTGATTGGGGTTTCTACTAGTTTTGAATTGGGTTTTTTTTATTATTTTAATTTATTTTATAATGGGCTCCCTAAACCACATCCTTAGACAAATTTTAGGGAGTTATTGGAAAATTACAACTCCAACCATGCTCCCTATCCACCTCCTAAAATAGAGTGACTTATAGGAGCTTCTAAATTTGAGGAGAGAGAAATGATTTCTAGTGGTTCCCTATAATTTAATGTTGCTTTATTTTATGAGTATTTTAAACCTTTAATTAATGCTAACTTTTATTTTTATTTTTAATAGAGATGGACCAATTAAAAAAGAGTTATAGTATTTATGACTCCCTAAATTAGAGTGTATGATTGGAGTTATTTTATAGAGAGCTCCTAAATAGTTTTTGTATGTTTCTAGCTAAATTTTAACTAAAAAATAGAGAGCATGATTGTACATGCTCTAAGGTCTTTATTATAAAGTATTAGGGGTTTTTTATTAGGTTTTTTTATGTATTTTTTTAGTACAAGTGATAAAACTATATGGGGAGAGGGTTTCTCACACACACGCTGGTGCCATGGAGATTAAAGTTTTTTTAGCTAGTCTGCAAGTTAAAGCACTTTTCCATTAGTTTAGACCCCGTTGGCTTTAATAAAGTTATTAATTCAAGTTTTCTAATAAGTTTGGTAGTAGATTAGAGCTTTGAATTTAGGGGTTTGGCTAAGTTTATTATAGGTTTGAAAATGGTGCTGGCTAGTTAAATTATGGTTATTAATTAGGGGCTTGGTTTTAATTAAGGGTTTTTAAGTAATTTGGTTTTCTTAGCTTAAATTAAGGGCTTGTTTGGGTTTCGTTATCTGTTGATACTTGGTTTTCGCACCAACAATCAAAGTGCGTCTCAACCTTTGGGCCAATCCTTTCTCAAGGGTGTGTGGAATTATGTAACAACCCAAACCTAAAATTAATATTTAATTATTAATTTATTGGAGGAAAAGACTAAAATGCCCTTAGAATATTTTATTGAGGAAAAGGTTGACCTTTTGACCGAGAAAGAATTTGACCGTTTCACTTACACCGTTGCGTAGAGCGCGACGAAACGAGTCCGTAGACACGTATTAGGCTCGATTGGGAATTATAATGAAGAAAATACGGTCAAAATACGCTCAAGGGCAAAATGGTAATTTTGGGAAATCAGGATTTTTTTTAAACCCTCAACTTCTCTCTCTCCCGTCGCGATCTCCCCCCTGTTTCAGTCCGATCCGTCCTCTCCTCCCAGCCACCGCCACAGGCCACCCCGACTCACCGGACCAGACCCAGAACCACCGGCGTCACTCCGCCGACCTAGCCCGGTCATCTTCCCATCGCCTGCCGCCTCGAACCGTCGGAAAAACCATGGTTTCCGATCGGTTTTTGACAGAACTTTGGCCAGCGGTTTCTCCCTCCTCCGGCCACCAATCCGGTCGTGTGAGGTATGAATTTCTAGCTAATTTTCATGATCTAGCTTATGGTTGAGTAGGATTTGAGGAATTTCTAGCGTGAGAAGGTTAATTTCGAACCTAGGGTTCGGCCGGTTTTGAGATCACGGTTTCAGCCACTTCCGGTCACTTTTTGGGGTAGGTTCCCAGAACAAAAGTGGCTCCAAATAGGGTGTTATACCTAGGATAGGAGTCTTGAGCCTAGTTGTTGAGTTTTTTCGGCGAGGCGTTATTGCTTAGGACACCCACGCGCTGCCGACGTGTGGGCAGATTGGTCGAGACCCCATTCAGTTCCAGAATGATCCTTGGGTCGTCATGAGCGCGTAGGAACTCGCGGATACTAATTCGGTTACCGTTTGAACCCCGAACGGATCTCGCCTAGTATGTGAGTTCCGGGTTCAGCAAGTTTGAGCCGTTGGATCGTTGTTAGGTCCAGGTATGTTGACCCAGGTATTTCCAGGATCGTATGGTAGTTGACAGATCGTAAAACAGAGTCCCGGTTACTCCAAGAATGTCAGCCCTAGAGCGAGGTTTACAGTAACTGAACCAGTTACAAGTCAGGGGCAGGTGAGAGAACTATGTGTGGCTTGATCTCTCGGTAAGGGTACGTAGGCAGCCTACAGTTACCAGGCGCAGCCACGAGTTAGGGCCCCAGAGTTTGTGTTATCGTTTTCAGGTCATTTTGGTCATTTATGACCTACAGCCACCAGGTGTCAGTTTTAAACAGGTTTCGACCCGGATTCCAAAGTGGAAATTGGATCAGGTCGTTTCAAATAAGGTGATTGACTTTAAATGAATTTGTTAAAATACTGAAGGATCGGCAATATGTGTAATTTTAGGATTTTTTTTTTATTGTATTATTGTAAAATTGGATGATATATTTTAGTTATTGACCTTATCTAGAATTGAAAAAATTATGTTATTATCTTTCACATTATTAAAGTATTTATTGAGTTTAAACCAAAGCCCCTTATTGGAATGACTTAGATGTTGCAAAATGCGGATAAATACATTGTGTGTAAATGTAGAGGTTCAAAATCCAAGCTTAGGTGACATTTTCTAAATTTTTTTCTCTTACTAAACTTATTAACTCAAAAATCTTCTTTTAACCAATGAGGTGTTAGTTGGATTGGCTTAGATGTTTGGTGTGCTCCCAAGTGATCTTGGGTTCAAGCCCTCATGGTATGTGTGTGAGTGAAATTCCCCCTCCCTCTTTCTAACTTTGGCAACAAAAAGAAAAGCGATAATGGGGAGGAGATTTTTTACAGACACACACACTGTTAAGGTGCCATCATGGGGGAACATGAAACTATTGATATGCAAGTGAAGCCCCTTTTCTACTAGGTTAGACTTAGTTGGCAAAGAATTAAAAACAAAAATCTTCTTTTAAAAAGAACAAAATAGTAAAAATTGTATCTCTATTAATTGATCTTATATTAATTAGGTTAAATTGTATCTCTATCTTCCAAATTAGTAAACTATTTTGTGTGTGAAAACTAAAGCTCCCAAACTAATATGTTAAAAATTAAACAAGGTAAATGAGAAAAAAAATATTAAGAATCCGCCAATCGTATTAGCTTCACATTCTTTCAAGTTATAGCACAAAACCACATAGCCACTTATTCTTTTTCTGTATATATTTTTTTTTTACAAATATAAGTAATAGTCTAAACTACAAAGGGTAGAGATTGAGGTTCTCTATTACTTTCCCCCGTCCAATCAAAACTCAAATAATATTTTGCTTTGTGGGGGCCAGTGGGTTAAGGCTCTGTCTAGTTTTCTTATATAATTTATGTATTCCGCTCTTCATCTTAACCGTACAATTCTTCTCATTTGTCTTACTGTTTTGTTGCAAAACTGTTTTAATATTTTACTCAATTTGATTAAAGAAAAAAAAGGCTTCACGCACGGGGAGAGAGGCTAGCAGACAAGAAAGAGAAAGGGATAGTAAGGTGGGCTTTGTGTGGCCTTCACAGTTGGGAAAAAAATAAAAAAAATTCTGTATGGTATAATAGGGCATACAGACCACTATCTGCCTCAGTCCAGTGCTATCTTGCTTTGCTTGAGCACTGAGATTACAACATATTTGCCTTCTTTATAGTCCACAAGAAGTATGGAACACAATAATATTACATAAGGGAAAATACAAGCAGAAAATGAAAAACAACAAATGCCAAGAGTACTGGCATAAATGGAAAATGAGGACTTAGAAGAGGAACTGTGGTTGTTACAAGAGAGAAAAGTAACATGAAAATTTAGAGAAACACACAATGCCTCGCCTTCCGTCGCCTTTTCTTTGGTTTAGGGGGTTGCAGAACAACTTTGATGGCAGCATCAAACACAGCCTTCACATTCTAAAGTTCAAGCCAGAGAACAGTAAGTTAGTTTGAGCACTTGATCACGGCCTTGACATTCGTAATTAGTGTAATGATTATTGACTAACTACACTATCTGTATAAAGCCTGGTTAATCATTTGTAAACAGAGTAAAGGGAAACAATACTTTTAAATCACAGTTAAAGTTGTAGGCAGAGAGAACTTTTGGCCTTTTGCATCATATTTGCTACCAAAAGAAAATACAGTCTGTTTCCATGACTTTAGACATGAAAGGGATTCCCTACATTAAAAAAAAATTTAAAAAAACTCTTGGAGAAAAGGAGTTTTCATAAGAACTGAGAAAATGTAGCAGCATTCTAAATAGATACATCAGATCAAGTTCTAGTTATAAGTATAACCAAATGATTTGAGTTTTCTGTGTAATCCTAGTTTGAGTTTTAAAGATCAGATCGAATTCAAATAATGAGCTAATTAGAGTGTTATACTTAATAATAAGCACTAGGAAATTAAGCAAACCTGCTGAGTCTTGGAGCTGCACTCTATATAAACAGCAGCACCAATTGCCTTCTTCAGCTCTTCACCCTGCTCAAGAACATTGAAGAACATTTCATAGTTTAAGAATTGACAGTAGGAAGTAGTCTGTTAGAAAGCAAGATAAAGAGGACAGACAATCAACTCCTATGCCCTTTATTGTGCAAGTTAACTTGCCTGTGCAATTGATATGGGTGTAGCACCAGGATGATCAATCAAATACTCTTTGTCCTCCCGCAAATCTGCAGCCAAAATTACTATCAGAATTACATCAAGATCAAATTCTAGTGTTCATCCACAAACAACCAAAAACACAGAAATGCGTGCACACGAGCGCGCACACACGCACACATATATTATACGCACATTTTGTGCTTTTTATGACTTTTATCTACTATAAATAACACATACCAAGTTTGGTTCCCACAAGCACAATGGGGACTGTTGGAGCATAATGCCTCAGCTCAGGTATCCACTGGGTGTCAAACAATAAAAGTTGATGTGCATATTAGATTCTGACTGCTAAGAGTACAAAAATACAAGTAAAAGAATAAATCAAAATATTGAAATGTTTAACAAACCTTCTTGGCAATGTTTTCATAGCTGGCTTTGCTGATGAGAGAGAAGGCCAACAAGAACACATCAGCACCTCTATAGCTCAGAGGCCTCAGCCTGTTGTAGTCTTCCTGTCCTGAATTCCGAAGAGCACATACAATAAGCACGTGCATATTGAAAATACAAGTAATCTTTTTTGCAGATGTATTCTAGTCAGTTTGTCAAACTAACCATATCATTTTATGCAAAATTGACGGGTTCAAAAAATCAAATGTTCAAACTAAACAATCTCTATTTTCTTTTCTTTCTTTTCTTTTTCTTAGCAGTTAGGTTATCAAACTAACACCACTTAATTTATGCAAAATCCACAAGTTCAATAATCCAGACAGTGATTGACAGAGCCAGAAACTGCCAAAGCATATGAACAAAGAACATTGTAATCTCTATCCTTATGAGAAGGAGTTTGTAGTTCAAGTAGTTAACAACAATCACTCGTACAACCGAGGTTGTGTCTTTGATTTCCCCATCCCCCAATAAATATTGCATGCATTGTTGTAATTTCTATGAAATCAGAAAGAGCATCTAGCATGATTCATTGCAGCAACTCAATTGAAATTTATTTTCTGTATTTTTTTTTTCTTTGTAGTTTAGGTCAGTACTTCAACAAGTATATATGACCTTGATAATCTCTTCACCACAGTAGCAAGTAATTCAAGAACAAAGCACCCACATACAGAAGCAATGTAATTACTTAATTACCTGCAGTGTCCCATAATCCAAGGTTAACTGTGCTGCCATCCACCACCACATTAGCGCTAAAGTTGTCGAACACTGTAGGCACATAATCCTATAAAATAAATTAAAAATTAAAAATATAAAAATGGGAAAGATCACAATTTAAATAAATAACCATGAAACATTGATTAGCATATATTCATGCTTAATCTTACAGTGGGGAAGGTATTGCTGGTGTAAGAGATTAGCATGCATGTCTTCCCAACAGCTCCATCTCCAACAGTGACACACTTGATGAATCTAGCTGTGCTCATTTTCTTTGCTTTACTCACCCCTGCTCTCAATTACCAAATTACCCTTCTCTCTTCTCTGTTCACTTCCATTGACACAAGCCTCTCGGCTGCGTCTCTTCCTCAACTATAAACTTCTGTGTTAAAAAATGTTAAGTGGAGCACTTAGAGAAAAGAGAAGAGAAGTAGGAAGGAAGAGGGAGGCTAGGGATCTGGGAGCTGGGTTGAGTTTGAATTTTGAATAGAAATGGAGGGCAAGGAGACATTTAATAAGGGGAGGACCACCACACCACCCACTTCCATTAGCTTTGCTGCTTTATTGTTTTACTATGATTGCCATTGGCTTTTCTGTTTCTTTAAGGGGAGGCCAGAGAGGCTAAAGACCAATAAAGGAGGAGTTTGGTGTTTGGTGTTAGTGTTAGTTGGTTAAGTATGGGAGAAGGGAGAGGTTTAATCATGAGTATTGTGGAAATATAACATTGCTTACTCACCTATACAAAAAATAATATTGCTTAATACTTTTTTTGTTTTTTTTTCTAAGTTATAAAATAGGGGGAGGTTTTCTTACGCACACTATCAAGATATATATCATTGGAGTCTAAACTTGAGACTACTAATCTACAAATTAAGACATTTTTTTACTTGGCTAGACCCATTGGCAAAAAACCATTGCTTAGTTGACCAAATAATCATCATCGATGCATGTAATAAGAAAAAGAAGAAGAAGAAGAAGGGGTTACAAATCCAAAAAAGAATAAAATAGAAATTACTGGAGCCGTCGATTGCATATTCCATCTAATCTTCGTTGTATGTTTGACTTCGGATTCTTTTGATGGAGAAAAGCACTACATGGTTTTAACTTTCAAGTTAACTATCTACATGGTAGATATGTAGTGTAAAAAGTGGATATTGGGTTGCTACGGAACATCAACGACTTGCTAGTAATATAGCTGCTGATTGGGCTAGTTCATCTTTTGTCAACAAACTATGGAAACACTTGTGGGAGCTGAAGGTGCCTCCAAAAATTTTGCTTTATATATGGAGATTTGGGCAGAATATTCTCCCATCGAGGGATGTACATTATCGGCGCAGGCTGATCACTGATGATGTTTGTTTTCGTTGCCTTACTGCTATTGAAACATCCACCCATGCTATATTTGATTGTGACAGCAGTCGACAAGCCTGGAAGCGGGTGGGGCTTTCAGTTATGCCTCTTAGATCACAAAGTCATGAGCCGAAATCTCTACTTGTAGCGGCGCTGGAGGTGTTCTCTGGGGACCAATTACCCGTATTTGCAATTACAGTTTGGCTGTTTTGAAATGAGCGCAATGCTATTTTGTTTGGTTATAATCCAACTTTCCAAGGTAGATTGCTGGAACAGGTAAGGAGCTATGATGCTTAGGTTAAACGTATAACTGAATGCCATCATAGGAGTTCCCCCATGCCAACTATTACGGTACGGTGGCAGCCCCCCAATGGTTTTTTAAAACTAAATGTGGATGAGGTTGTAGATATGAAAGATGGATCGAAGAGGGTTGGTTTTGTGCTTCGTGATCCCAATGGTGAATTAACTTGGAGCTGTGGCTATGCGAGCTCCTGGCATGGTGTATATCCTTGCCACGGAGCTCTACACGCTGAAGAATGGGTTACTCTTTGCATTGAACGCAGGATTTGTGCCTCTGTTTGTTCAAACTGATTGTTTGAATGTTGTACAATTGATTAACAACGAGGAAGTCTGTTTAGCTCCGGAAGGGAGTTTGGTGGAGGGAATTCGCACTCTTCTGCAGCATGTACCTTCCACTGTTCTCTCCTACATTCCCCGCCAGGCTAATACTCTGCTCATCGTATTGAACAGTTTAGCCTCCATGAACGAGATATCTCATACGCGAGAATCGGGTTTCCCACCCCGGAGTTTTGTCCCAGATTTTCTTTGGTAAGGTTTTAACGAGGCCACATTGATACATTCTTTCTTCCCAATTTTTTGTGGTTTAATGAAACGGATTTTTCTATATAAAAAATAGATTTCCATATTTTTCAATAGGCTTTTTATCACAAATGGTCCTTTAGGTTGGCAAATTATCACCTTTCATCCCTAAGGTTTTTTTGTGACACTAATGGTCCTTAACATTACCCTTTACGCATCAAAATGGTCCCTGTCGTTAGCTTCCGTCAAATTTTCTGTTAAATTGATGATGTGACACATATGTAGAGCTCACACATCCAATGGTATAGAACCATGTGGCTTTAAATAAAATATAAAATACATTTTAAATATTTTAAAACTTAAAATCCATATAAAAATTTAAAAAGAAAATTAAGTCTTTTTATAAATAAAAAAACTAAAAAACCTGTAGCCATCCTCTGCGTTCTCCCTCTCCCATTGCCCTTTCCCCCAGAGCCATTCTCAAGCAAATTAAAATCTTTTATTTTTGATTCAAATGCATTCGAGTACTTCAACACTAATTTCTGAATCGAACCAAGTTTCGGCTCGTTGGATTTCATCTCTCTCTCATATTCTTCAATCAATGTTTGTTTGTTTGGCTCAACCTCCTGTACAATGCCCTGTAATTCCTTGGCTTTAGTTCCCATCACCAAGTTAGAGTTCAACTCTTTGGCTTCAAAATCCGCCAATCGAGAGGCCATTTCCTTCTTGAACACTTGTAGCTCTTGGAATTCCTTGGCTTAAGGGGCTCGATGATTGGGTCTGTGATGAGGGGATGGCTACAGGATTTTTAGTTTTAATATTTTTTTATTTATAAAAAGACTTAATTTTCTTTTTAAAATTTTTATATGGATTTTAAGTTTTAAAATATTTAAAATGTATTTTATATTTTATTTAAAGCCACATGGTTCTATACCATTGGATGTGTGGGCTCTACATATGTGCCACATCATCAATTTAACAGAAAATTTGACGGAAGCTAACGACAGAGACCATTTTGATGTGTAGAGGGTAACGTTAAGGACCATTAGTGTCACAAAAAAACTTTAGGGATGAAATGTGATAATTTCGCAAACCTAAAGGACCATTTGTGATAAAAAGCCTTTTCAATATTTACATGTTATGAAACTTATGCAAAAGGGAGCATCTTTAATAAGTATTTTATGTTGATTTTTTGTTTGTTTGTCAAATGGTGATAATATTTAATTGCAGAGGTTCCTTATACTTCGCAAAAATACGAAAGAATAAGTGTTTCTTTGAGTGCAAACTTATTATTCGCGTATTATACACATACATAACTATATTTCACAAATAACGCACGTTTTCTTGACTTATTGTAAATGCAACAATTCCCGATAGACAATGCGCAATGCCAGTTACACTTAAGAGTAGTTCCACCGCTGCAGCCCAGCCCAAGGCTGGGGGGAAAAAAAAAAAATGGAGTTCCAGCGGAGCAGCCCAGGCCCGGGGGGGGGTGTGGGACCCACCTCCTCGGGCTGGCCGGAAGGCAAGTTCTGCCTGAGGTCCAAAACGAGGGGGGGTACTGTAGCGCTACAGTAACCGCTACAGTACTGCTACAGTCCGCTACAGTACTGCTACAGTACCCCCGCTACAGTGCATCGCTGATTTGATTTTTTTTCCTGTTGCCACGTGGCGTCGTCTGGGCTCTCCGATCTGATTTTTTCCTCCAATCCAACGGCAGCCAATTTTTTTGC